AAAAAAAAAGCAAAAAAAAAAAAAAAGAAAATACAGAAAACCTTACATGTTGACACCAACCAGTGGCAGTTGATACATATTTACTACTAATTAAAGTTCTCGCATACAATGAATGCACTTTCATCACCCTAAATCATATCCTCGGCCTCCAGTTACGTCTTGTAAGTAGATGGGTCTGACATACGGGAATTATACATATGCAGGCAAGCCGGGGCAATTTAGGGTTTCCAATAGAATGATGCAGATGCTACGTGGTCATACATGCAGATCAAATAACAATGCTAATAACGAAGGATTTACTCCTCAGAGCGGGGTAGATATGCTCCTAACGAGGTACGGATACGTTGGCAAAAAGGTAGCCAGGTATTTAGCATTGAAATAAGTAGTAAAGTGAATGCAAAGAAACTGATTCTGATACCGTGTTCCGTTCTTCCATTGACCTCCTTAAATAGCTTAGAATCCTCCCCTTGCCAGTGAGTCTCCAAGATTTCTCCAAAGGACTGAACAGTCAGACGGCGTCGTATTCGGGCGGTTCGGAACTGTAAAGACCGAGATTATAGGGGCCCGGGCACTCTGCAGGATATACGAGCAGGCCCGTGACAAATACAGATACTGCGCTGTCATATATGCATGAGCGATATGCAGCTAAGGCGGGGTATGTCACAATTCCAATGTAGCGATGCAGATACTATATGGTCGTACATGCATATCATATACCAAAGTGGATCCTACGTGGTCATACACGCATTATATATGCAGCGAAGGCGGGATGGCGCGTATCCACAATATAAAAATTCTGGGCAAAAGTTCCTAATAATGGCTCTAGGTAAAAGGGAAAGGCAATGGGCTAATGAGTACGACAAACGACGTGCTACGTGGTTATACATGCATCATACTTATACAGCCAATGCGGGGTAATTCCTGTTGATGACATGGCAATCTAGGCTAATGATACCAATAATAGCTCGGCTTAGAAGGAAAAGGGACAAACCACAGAGCAACTACGCTGCTTGTGCTGATCATCCTTATCAGCGAAACGCTCACTTGTCGCTCCCTGCCCGTGCGGGTGGTGTTCTAGCTATACAAAGCAAAGCAACGAGAAGAGAAGCAGGAGAAAGGTAAAGGAGATATAGGCAAAATTGAGATCTAAAATCCACAATCCTTTAAACTATCTGTAGAGACTAGTTATACGTATTTGGTTGAGTTGCTATGTATATATGTATATATATATATATATATATATATAGTCATTTCCTATATGTGGGGTCTTTATTTGTTTGGACCGATCTACGCCTCCCTCACGTTCCTTTCACATCATTGAACTCCCTGACCTAAAAGCCCACAACTGGGAAAAAGCAGCAGTGAGGATGGCGCCAGATATAGAAACTGTAATTTTATCTTTATCACATGGATCGAAAGAGACGGCTCCCTCGAGTCCCACGAGAGTCAGCCGCATACCAGAGGCAGAGAGCTGCGACACGCCATCCGAGAGGGCGGCGGACAATGCGCAGCGTTTTCCCAACCTGTCATGGACAGATAGCAGCGAGTCCTCTAATGACTTTCGATCCGATATATTTACCAGGCCAACATTGCCTATGCTGGAAGCCATTGTCAATACAACGCTTGGGGACTGCACCGCGGACGAAGACAAGACCACCGTTTCTTTCCAGGAATATGTTGCCGACCTGGTCGGCCACGAGGCAGCGCTTTTGGTCATGTCCGGGACCATGGGCAACCAGGTGGCCCTTCGGAGCATTCTGCGCACTCCGCCTCATGCTATCCTCGCTGACCATCGAGCACATATTGCCACATTGGAAGGAGGTGGCGCGGCAAGCATCTGCGGGGCGATGATCAAAGCTATTGTTCCATCCAATGGACATCATCTCACTTTGCACGACATCCAAGAACAAAGCATCTTGAGAGAGACGGTATTCGACTGCCCCACCAGAGTTATTAGTTTGGAGAACACGCTCTCGGGTACCATAATGCCGCTTTCCGACATACGAGCCATCTCCCTCTGGGCGCGCGCCCAGAACCCGCCTATTCACATGCATCTCGACGGCGCTCGTGTCTGGGAAGCAGCGGCTGCTGGAGCCTGCACGCTGAGAGAGATTGGAGAATGCTTTGATAGCATCCAGCTATGCTTGACAAAGGCTCTTGGAGCGCCACTTGGCAGCGTGGTTACTGGAAGTGCGTCCTTTATCAAGAGAGCGAAATGGAGTCGCCACCTACTCGGTGGTGGCATTCGCTCCTCGGGTATCATTACCGCGCCGGCAAAGGTAGCCATCCGTGATGTATTCTTTGGCGGTAAAATAAGGTTGGCGCAGGACAAGGCGAGATGTGCGGCAAGACTTTGGCAAGACCTGGGGGGGAAGCTTCAACAGCCGACGGAGACGAACATGGTATGGCTTGATCTTCCAGCGTCCCGTGTCGACCGCGATGAGTTTTATGCTTTGGGTCGCCAGTTGAATTTGAAAATATCAAATAGTCTGATGGTGGGACGGCTTGTTTTCCATTACCAAATTAGCGACGCTGCGTTTGCTAGACTCTGTGACCTCTTCGAGACTGTTCTCAAAGGCCGGACGGTGCAGAGTGTTAACAGCGAGTAGAAGTAGGTATGCTTCCGGATACGAGGACAGAAGAGCCAGAAACATTGGTCGAACGGGTGACCTAAATGGCACGAATACAAATTCCAGTAGAAATAGTAAAGAATAACATGCATCCTTGTGTCCATCCTTTGCTGTTATATCGCGTCTACATTTCCTCACTATGGGTTGATGTACGGGCTACACTGTATGTAGCTGAACCGCGATATATAGACCTCTAGCTAGACCCACTGATTGGGTCACTTTCGGCGGCCTAAGCAAAGCTCTGATTAATTGGTGTAAATAGCAACCCCCTCCTCTGTAAGCCCTCTTCTTCCTTGCACCAACCCTATTATGCCGACATCTTCTGCGTATGGGTGAACGCCTATTTTTACTTTCGGCGACCTTGGGAACCTTCACCTTTTTTTTTTAAAAAAAAAAAAAAAGTATAAACAATCCACCATAAATCTATCTCTTCTTGACAATCATGGTTGTGTCTCAGAAACAGATCAACTTTCTTCGCGGATGGCCAGCCCCAGGGCTTCTCCCCACAACGCTTTTATCCTCTGCGTGCCAGCACGTCCTCGCCAATCAAGACGAGTATACGGAGATGCAGGAGTATGGCTCTTGCCATGGTTTGACTCGTCTCAGAAAGGGCCTCGCCAGTTGGGTTGGACGTCACTATGGGATCACCTCTGACCTAGAGCGTATATGTATTACTGGTGGTGCCAGTCAGAATTTGGTATGCATTCTGCAATGCTTCAGTGATGTCAATTACACGAGGGCTGTTTGGATCGTTGCACCGTGTTATCATCTTGCTTGTGGCATCTTTGAGGACTCGGGGTTCGCAGGCAGACTGTACGCCGTACCTGAGGATGACGAGGGGATCGATCTACAAATTTTTGACCGCAGGCTGCAAGAATTCGAAAAGCAAGACAAACAAAATAGGGACCAAAAGGTGATCTACCCCGCTGGTCTAACGTCTCGGTATGAGTGTTTGTGCTTTAGCTGAGCTGACAAGCCGATGCAGCCCTTTAAGCTCCCATCTGCAGATAGGAAACTGTACAGACATCTGATATATACCGTGCCAACATGCTCGAATCCTTCGGGTCTAACCATGTCCCTTCGGAGGAGAGAGGGTCTGGTCCAGCTGGCCCGAAAGTACGACGCCCTTGTTATTAGCGACGATGTTTACGATTTCCTTCAGTGGCCGTTGACCGAGCCAGTAACGCCAGACCGATCGGCGGAAATGAGGCTTCCCCGTCTTTGTGACATTGATCGTTCCATGGGGCCTTCTGACAACGACCCCCACGGCTTCGGCCATGCGGTCAGCAATGCCTCTTTTAGCAAGATTTCCGGGCCGAGTGTACGGACTGGCTGGGCAGAAGCATCGCCCAAGTTCATATCGCGCATTGCTCGCACCGCAGCTACAAGGTCCGGCGGCTCACCTAGTCAGCTTTGCGCGGCAATGCTAGCTGAAGTCGTCGAGAACGGCCAACTGCAAAGGTTTGTTGACGAGACGGTACGACCGACCCTGCAGCGACGCCATAAACTCATGATGGACGCCATTCAAAGATATCTTTCGCCTCTGGGAGTCAAAACCCGCGTTAGCAGCCTTAATGGCCAGGAAATATATGGTGGCTACTTTGTTTGGTTGGATATGGGCAGCGAATTTTCTACCAAGTTCATCGCTGATGTGTTAAAGGCTGAAGAAAACATCATCATCGGTCATGGACAGATGTTTGCTGTGTATGGAGACGAGAAAAGTGCAAGTTTTGATAGCAGCGTTCGCCTTTGTTTTGCTTGGGAAGCAGAGCAAGACATTGTAGACGGCATCCGGAGGATGGGCCAGTTGTTTTCGCGGATGCATAGTAACAGGGAGCATTATCTTCACCTGGCATCGATGTCTGGCAACATGGGATAAAGTCTTTATTTTTGCTAGCCAATTCATTAAGTTAAGCATTGGTGGGCTTTCTTCAGTGTGATCAAATCGCTTTAGCCTAGGGTGGCCAAATATTTTCCCATCATCTCAAATGATATGTTACTTCCACCACAAACGACAATCACCACCACAGTATTCTCATTAAACCCAGGGATCAACTCTGCCAATTTTCCATTGTAGCACAAGGCAGGACAGACCGAACAAGCCAGTTCCACCAGATAATGCTCTTCGTCAGCAAACCGATGACATGCTCGTATAGCCTCGGCGTCAGACAGAACAACTGTTCTGACGTGCTTCTCCAACCCATACTCGAATGCTCTCTGCGCAACTCTCCTCGCTCCCAAACTGGTGGCTAAGCTACCAATTCTAGACAAAGTGATGCGTTCCCTCTTCGCTACAGACTGTGCCAACGAGTCAACTCCATCCGCCTCTACAGTAATCACCTGCGTGCGGTCCTTCATCTGCAACTCCTCGATCGCCTGCATTAACCCGCAGAACAAACTACCACCGCCCACACTGCATACTACAGCATCAATGTTCGGTGCATGCTCTGCGGCTGATTTTCCGTTGGTTGTTGTGGCTGTTGTGACTGTTGTTGCTGTGTTCATGGAGTAATGGCTTATCGCTTCGCCCAGCTGCCTGACAATTTCGTGCATGATACCAGCGTTGCCTTGCCAAATCTCTGGTGCATCAAACGGCGGGACATATATTCGTGACTCCTCGGTAGTTTCTGGTCTCATCATGACTGTGTTTCTTAGATACTCATCCGCTTCGGGCCATGTGTTTCCATACTGGATGACCTCCACAGCTCCAGCCTGTTTTAACTTTGCGACCAAAAACGCCGACGTCGACAGAGGAGTTACGATAGTTGTTCGGCATCCGAATACATTTGCACCGTAAATGCACGCCAGCCCGGCATTGGCGCCCGAAGAGCTGTAGAAGTGGGCTTTGGCTGATGGATCATTTCGCTGTTGGCGAAGAGCAGTCAACCTGTCGACCATGTAGTGGCCAATTCCTCTCGATTTAAAGGAACCGGAGGGCTGCGTATTTTCTAATTTCAAAAATACATTACTAAATACGAAAGAGAAGTGTGGTCAGTACTAGAGCTGCTTGTCTGCCCTGCTTTTCATCATGATATGACAATTGTCAAAAAGGGGGAAAAAAAAATTGGATATAAGATATGGGTTACTCTTACCAGCCAGCAGCTTTGGACAAATTGGTCGATCTTACCAGGGGGGTTTCTATCCAAGGCTTTTTTATTTCTATTGTCATGATGATGATGATGATGTTTGCAATGTTTGAGGTTTTGCTATTCGCAGATATGAATAGGCTATACAATATAAATAAGTTATTGAATGAACGAGAGAGAGAGAGAGATAGATAGAATGATATTTCCCCGGTACTTAGCCAGTTGTCACTGCACCCCGCACAACATGCAGCACACTGGCTATTTGTGGTGCCGCTGATGGCGTGGCGCCCTTAATCACACTGGAATAGCCAGAGAGACACACCTCCCCCTCCCTTGCTGCATTAGCTTTTCGCTTACGGAATATGGCGCCCTGGGCCAGTATAATAATATCTATCAACATGTCCTATGACTCTACCCCGCTCGAGACCAAGTTAGGCAATGACTATCAGTCTCAGCTCAGTAAAGTACAGCCAAGACAGCGGGTTAGAAGCAGCACATTGACATGCAGATGCGTCCAGATCGGCAGGCAACTCTTTGCTATCGAGGATACGTGTTTAGGTCGCCAGCCAGTAGGCACCACAGTGGGGCGACACAAAGTTTCGAGTTCAAATCCAGCGTGTCACAATACGCACTATTAGGTCTTGATGGCAAGGGTTTAGAGACGAGACATGCTACCAAGAACGCTCGAGGATCGGGAGCAGTTAGAGCAACTCTAAGGGCAGGTCACTGTGGTGATTCCTGCTCTCCCAAATTAAACAGTTGCCGACATAGCGCTTGACATCATGACACCAGGTGTATAGTAGCGGTGCTTACCGAGCCCAAACATCTTTGTAAGTCCGGGGTGGACAGTAGATGGCTGCCCCCGGGTCTCGTCTAACAGGCGTGCCGCATGGTCGCCAACATCCCCTTAATCATGGATATCGTATTTATGCTCTACAGGGGACATGGCCATGGAAAGTACGTGATAGGGTGCCACATGCCATCGACTAACTGTAAGAGACTCCAGCAAGTACACCATCTGCAGCGTCAGCTTCTAGGCGTGTTGGAAGATGTGGCTTAATAAAAGGCAAGCACTGGGTTTGAGGTCAAGCCGTGCTTCGATGTCTGCTATGCCTTTTTTGCAGGTCGCATCCCATACAAAGGCAGTATCCTTTCTCGTACTCTTTGTTACTGGTTTGGCTATACGGCTATAGGCCTTTATAGAGCGTCAATAGAAGCTACAGAATCCAAGAAATACCTAATTTCCCCGAATAGTTGGAAGGTCTACCATTCAAGTATAACAACAATCTGCGCGGGATCCACATGATTTCCATCGGGAGCGATAATAAAGCAAAGGAACTTATGTGTTGTAACAGGAAACTGACATTCATGGATGGCCACCCTGCAGACACGCGGCTCGCAGTCGATCCAGGACCTGATGAACATGCTGATAACGCCTGATATGCTCCATTAACTAGTCTATGCTTTAGGATTTACTCGGGAGTTAGGTAAGCAGGGCTGCCATAAGTTAACTAACTTTAGTTAACCTTCTTCTGTAGGCTTAGCTGGCGGTGCTCGCAAGTCGAGTTATAAACCATGCTTGGCGCACCGCCAGAGTCTACGGAGTATAAGGGGAAAGCAACCGCATTCCAAGTGCTAAGAAGGGGAAATAAACAAGGCTAGATATGTACAAATAATGCAAAACAATGCAAACTGGCCACTTGGGGAATTGAGTCGTCACAACAATGTTCTCATTTGGGTTTCGCCCCTTCGCTCGCAACAACTACGGGTATTCCGGAGCCTTGCATCATGACTTTGAAAGAACCATACACCTTAAAAGGCATCCACCTCCATTCCTCTCGGCGGTGAGATCATCAAATTCCCAAATTCAAATTAGTTAATATGAGAAGGAACTTTGGAAATACTGCCGTGGGAGGAAGTAGGAATTCCATCGTACCCACCAACATTGCATTGACGCATGGTGCCACAATCCTGCATTCTTGATCAGAAAAATCGTGGAATTTATTGATACTAATGCTAGCCTTTCTAGCCTTAACGTTGCCATAAATATCCGTACTGGGGCTGCCCGTTCGCGGTTAGTGAGGCGCATTTCCAAGCCACCGGCACCTGTCATAGTCATGGCAAACTCAAGGAGCCAATATGATACGAAGCCCGATCGGGATGACCTGGGGAGGCCGAGTAGCTCTGAGGATTCAATCCCCAGCGAGGCGATGCCCTTTCTGCAGCCACACGACACTGCTGCAACACGCGAGGTGCCGAGCTCGGTAGACAACAGGACCGATAAGCCCTCTCTATTCCTAGCCGGCTTGTCAACAACGCGGTTCTGGGTCATATTCTCACAAATACTCGCGACACAATTCATCTGCTTCTTTGATACGACCATTATGGCATCTTCCCACCCTGTGATAACATCCTACTTTGGTACAGCCCACTCTGCATCTTGGCTTTCGACAGCTTTCATGGTAATGTCTACTGTCTCACAGCCTTTTCTTGGCCGTCTGTCAGACGGATTCGGTAGGAAGCCGCTTTTTCTCAGCACCCTGGCGGTTTTCTCAATAGCCACGCTGTGGTGTTCGCTAGCTACGAGCATAGAAAGTCTCATTGCTGCAAGAGCAGTATGCGGAGTAGGTGCTGGGGGAACTTTGCTAATGGGGAGCATCATTATGAGTGACATGATACCCATCGAGTACGTATCCGGTCGGTCAACATTGTGTTTTAATGCCCTAGTTGGTTCCATGGCCCCAAGGGACTAAGCTACGCTCTCCAACTAACGGTAGTGCAGACGACGAGGCACCTACCTATCATACATCAACGTCGTAGTCGGCATCGGCTCCGGGCTCGGGGCTACATTCGGTGGTGCCATTGCCGAGACCATAGGCTGGAGGTGGGAGTTTGGCGTGCAGGTTCCTCCGCTCCTAGTATGCTTAGGGATTACTTCAGTAGTTATCCCAGATAGGTTGGGCATACTTGGTGACAGGGAGTCTGTCAGCCAGGTCATTAAAGGGTTTGATGCACTTGGCGCGTTCTTGCTTACCTTGGCCGTGTCAACGCTCACTCTTGGTTTGAACATTGGCGGCAATATCATTCCTTGTAAGTTAAACTTTTTTTTTTTTTTTCCATGTCTGAACGGATACTACAAATCTACAAGACCGTTACCTATACCCTAGCCTGTTCCTGTTGTCATGGAGTTCGATTAGACTAACTACTTCGTTTATCAAGGGTCTCACCCATTTGTGATCACTTCTTTGGTAGTATTTACCACCACTTTCCCAGCCTTCCTCTTGACCGAGTCCCGGGTGGCAAAGCCCATTATGCCACTGAAATTTATATTTTGCAGGCCGCGTGCTAATTTGATTGTGTCCAACTTCTTTGGTGCTATAATATCGAATGCAATCCTGTTCAACATGTAAGAATGATAGATTCACTTTTTTTTTTTTTTTTTTATATT